AAAAGTGATACTAATGAAACTGTAAACGAAGTCTACTTTTATAATGAGTAAGTTAAATTATGAAGAATTAATTTTAGAGTGAAAAATTTACATTTAACTTAACTTGAGAGACTACCAGTCATTTCCATTGCAAGTGGATCAAAACAGGAAGGCAAAAAGAAAGAAAGAGAGGAAAGGAAGAGAAGCTGGCTGATATTTTTGGTGGAGGTTTTTCTTCTTTTTTATCCAAATAACGTGTATGAACATTTTGTCTTTAGGAGGAGGAACTGCATTTACTGAATTAAGAACATTGGGATTCATCCCACGCTTTTCCTACCACACCCCACTGCTTATTGTCCTCACCACCAATTCTATGATAGGATTTTCCTATAATTTTTTTTTTTTTAGACAGATTCTTGATCTGTCATCAAGGCTGGAGTGCAGTGGCGCAATCTTGGCTCACTGCAACCTCTGCCTCCTAAGTTCAAGCAATTCTCCTCCCTCAGCCTCCCCGAGTAGCTGACATTATAGGCGCCTGCCACCACACCAGCTAATTTTTGTATTTTTAGTAGAGATGAGGTTTCACCATGTTGGCCAGGCTGGTCTCGAACCCCTGACCTCATGATCTGCCCACCTCAGCCTCCCAAAGTGCTGGGATTACAGGCATGAGCCACCGCGCCCAGCTGAGATTTTCCTATAAATTTACATTTCTTCTTTTATTAAATCTCCCACTACACTTAGTGCCAGTCCCTTGTCTGTCAACGGATGAATGTAATATCCACATCCAAGAGCATTTCTAGAAGGTACACGGTGAGCTCACCATAAGTAAGAGCTGATCATGGGGTTCAGTGAGATCATCAAGTAAGAAAGGAAACAGATGTGGCTGAAATTATGCCAGGAGTTGAACCAAAGATCAAAGCAAGTGAGTCCACCACTCTGGGCTCACGGCAGGCCTTTTCTCATTTTCAGCTGAATAGTATCTTCCAAATGAAAGCCAAAATATTTTATGAGATGTTATCATTTATAACATTTAATTGGGATGGTTTGAATTTTGTTAAACATTTTTCCACCAGGGCCTTTAATACTTAATCACTTAATCAAAAACAGGATAAACTGAAGCAAATGATCATATCAACAGCCAAGCTGTAATTTTTCTATGGGGCTACAAACCGAATCAAGGGTCTCCTTTTTTCTTAATTAGATTCCTTCCGTTTTAGGATCTTAGTCGTGTTTCTCCTCTTATCCCCGTCATTGGTTTCTTCTGTCCCCGCCTCCACAGCTCAACCCTCCTCCTCCTCTTTCATCATTGTCATTGCAACTGTCACCTCTCTGTTCTCTTCTACTTTCTTGCCCTTGCCAGCAGCAATGCTTTACCAATTTTTACACTTCAGAACACGTTCGCTTACTTTGTCACTGCTTGGTGACAAAGAAAGGTAGCTGGCTGTCCCCCTGACCTCAAGAACAATGCATTTGGCATAAGTTTTAAAACAATTGTGAGGGGGAACTTTGAGATGTGCATGGAAACTGCATGGGTGAAGCATTTGAACCAAGTGCATCCTGAATCTGCTGTGCTGAACCCCATGTCTGCCAACCCCCCAGGCGTCTAGTCAGTAGCTGCAAGTGCTGCCAATTTGCCATTTTGCCTGGCATGTGACATGAGCAGGAAAAGAATTCCTACATATCTGCCTCGATCTGTTTCAGTAAATGACTAGCCTATGAGCAGAATACAGCATATTCTTATTAGACTGCGTATTTGGCAAGATTGTCACCATATATTTTTCTAAAACTTCAAAGACAGTAATTTGTTTTAATTTTGTCATTTCAAAAATTTGTGTAATAACTCCATGCTATTTTACCTAATTGACAGTGATATGCAATCTTAGCTAGATGTACATTTTCTCCTGAGGTAATAAACTTTTTAAAAATTCCCTGCTCTAAGCATTTTTATTATCGTATCTATTGATAATTTCTGTATACAGAAATTGTCACAATTTCACAAACATAAAAACATTTATTTTAATAATTTTCTCTTAAAGGAACTAATTGTAGTCAATCCGGGTGCGAATATATAAATATTGTCTTAATTTAAGAGAATCAAACCAAATGTCATCATGTAATGAAATCGGAGCCAGATGAGCATGATATTCCATTTGAAACTTGGCTCTTCATAGTTTATTATAGTATATATTATATAGTATATTTTTGGTATAAAAGTAATTGCGGGTTTTGCCATTAAATGTAATGG